GAATAACTGACAAGCATGATAAAACCTTTCCCCCGTTCCCTCCCTTCTTTTCTCCCGCAAAGGTTACTTTTATGTATGGTTTGGGCCCCACACAAATCTGCATCCCATCTCCAACAGCTTAAGTATAAAGCTCAGCGCAGGCCTGTTCTGCCGGGAGTTTTCCAACAAATCCTTCTCCTGACATTCCATTTAGCAAAGCGTAAGCCGGCATTTAACCTCTTCACCTCAATTCTTGCCATTTTTTTCCTTCATCAACTCTGACATCCAGCACTGCCCCCCAACCATGCACTCCTTCATGGCCACCCATCGACTTCAAGAGGAAAATCTCTTACCTTCACTTTCCTTGCCAGGTTAGAATTTCAGAAATTCAAGGTCTCAGGTGAAGCCAAACATGTGAAGGAGAACAAGCCATGCAGATGCACGAGAACAAACGTGGCTTATAATAACGGGAGGCAAATCTCGAAAGTTTCATTAAGTTAGCTGGTTTTCTTTTTCTGCTGTGAAGGTGAGAGTATTTGCACTCTACAGAGGAGAGGTGGGGGGGGAATAAGGGGTTTGAAATCTCCATATAAGGGCAAAGGAATGTAAACAAGTGAGGCGGAGCTATTGAGCTGAACAGGGTTGGAGGAAACGAGTAACCCGACCTCTCGCCTCTATTTTACGGGACTACCCCACTGGGGAAAAGAAGGAATAGGAGGCAGGCAAAATAGCGATATATCGTATGAGAAAGGGATGGGGGTTGGGGAGAAGACAGAGGATGAAAACAACATTCCTGGAGCTCAAGACATATCCACTCTGTAAAAAAGACACTTTGTAATTAAAGGCAAAGATTAACTTCTGCCAGGAGCCCAGAGCTATTTTCATGAAAAATTGCAGGCAAGTTGTTTTTCCTCTCAATCTCGTGTGTCAGAAGAAGACACATTATCTGCCTTCAAGCACAAAACGGGATAAAAACATGTAAAAAAAAAAAAGCCTTGTTAGAGATCATGAACTGTTTTTGAACAAACAGATTTAAGTCATTTTGCTCACGCTGGATATGCAGCCATAGCTTCACAAGTATTTTAAAAGCTTGTGAGCTGGAGAAAAAAAAAAAAATCACTCATTTCTGCATTCTTCTATTCATTACATTTGGTATTATGGTGCTGTCAGTCCTTTAAAAAATATCCACCAATTACAGTGCAGAGAGAAGAAAAACCACAACTCTTCCGTAAGTTGCGCTAGCTTTAGGAAGTCTGGTTGGGTACGACTATGCAATTACCCAGCCCTCTCTGTTCCGTCTCGTTTATAACCTTTTTTGCCTTTCCACTAAAAGTGGGAGTCAAAAACATAATGAAGACAATAATATTTTCTGAATATCCAAAAAAAAAAAAAAATTCTAATGTGCCTTGTCTATTCGTAGACAGTGGAAGTAAAAAGTTGAAATTGGCCAGCAGCATTCTTTTATTGTTTCATAGATGCAAACTACTACACCCAAAACAGATTTGACAAACGGAGATGCACAAGCTCCACCAGAATGATGAGGTCGTTGTGATTATAATTAATGAGGTCATTGGAATATTCAACAAAAACATTGCTATCCATTATGTTTCCATTAACTTAAAGTCCTAATCTATGGAGAGATTTTTTTTTTTTATCTCGTCTTTCTTTGCACAATAGCTTAAGCTCAGACAGAGTGAAATGACGGTGTCTGTGAACAGCAATATTCAAGTCTTACCAAAGATTCACAATTGGATTTAGGTCTGGAACTTCCAACACTAGTCTCAAATCTTTTTCAGCCTCTAGCTGTTTATCTTCTTGGATTGCATTGCATTTAACTTCATTCAACTTCCTGCCAAACCTTCCCACCAATGTGTCATTTTTTTCCGTCCACATTACAATTATGCACCATTGTGACTTGGTCTATCATATAATCCCAGCAAAACACATTTAAGTTTGTGCTTGTAACTTTTTATATCGCTTGTACCTTTCCATGCTACGTTCCATTTTGAATATTTTTGAGAAGCACTATACGTGTGCTTTTAGAATGTGCATTACATGAACAATGACTTACAGATGGGGTGTTATGTAAAATCATGGCAGCCATTCAGGTATGCTTACTCATACAAAGAGATGCTTATTTCAACAAAAGCTCCTACATGGAGGTGCAGTTTCCAGCCAAGCTTCCACCAGTCAGAGCACCCCTCCCCCAGCTCCATCAGACTAGCGGCAGCAACAATTAGCAAACACTTAGTGAAGCTGCACATCTGCTGAGCCCATTATACTCAGTCCATCGTTCTTTAGAACGGTTGTAAATGGCATAATGGATGAACATTGTTTGGGTGACTTGCTGGAGGTAGAATGTGGGGGAAAAGCAGGAGATTTGATAGAGGCCAATTTCAAGGCATGAAGTTACAATGTCAAATTTGTTTGAGGTTACGTTTTATTTACAGCATTTTTTAACAACTGACGGTATGTGACTGTGCTATAAAGTGGAACTAAGTTCCTGGAAAATACACAGTTCCTCCACTTTAAATGAGAGCACAACGTGAGAGAATACTCAGAAAAGACAAATTCAATTCGAGTAAATTTCAGGATTTGCGAAAATTTACTTTGAGTATTTATGCTTAGAATTTGACAATGCAGTCGGTTTTAGACTTTTACCCAAAATGCAAGCCTAAAGAATTCAACAAAAACACCAAATGTAGCATAATGCGTGATCATATAATATGAAACTTATCTTGTCAGCTAAGTTGTATGGGGAACAAAAAAAGTGTAAGACTTTTATATATGCATTACAATATTGACTCAACTTTTAATCAAATCTCATTCCATCTATAAAAGATAGTGACAAATTAGAAGCAGGGTTTGTGGCGACACTAAGCAAAGACACCCGACCAGTTCAAAAATAAACTAAACCAAACAACAATCATCTTAATTCTCACTTTGCAGCAAACACACTCTACCAATTAAAATAGAGACACCGAGGTAAATAACGTTTTCTTCTCACAACCTTATCACTAAGGTGTCAAACAGCTTCCAGACTTCCTCCTCCGGAGACGTCACTGGGTGAGAGTGTCTTTGAAGCAAACTGGTTCAGGGCGAGCTCTTCTGGTAAGTAGATGCAGAATTTCAGCTAAGTTTTCCATCCCTCCTCTCATATGTTCGAGTTTACATGCGAAAACAAAGCTGTAAACATCCCACATGAATGCTGTGGAACCAAGGGAGTCGGGATATAGAAAAGCTCTTTTGTTCATGCCTCCCCTTTCCTTTGATGAATTCTTAAATTTGTGTGGTTTTCTTTTCATTGCAATCCCAGAAGCTGGCGTTAAAACTTCGTGTGGACGTGCTTGTTTTTTTTTTTGTTTTTTTTGTTGTTGTTTTTTTTAAAATGAAAGTTAAAAAAAAAAAAAAAAAGGCTGACTGTTTTCATCAAGTCAAGCTTGGCTTATAAAAACACTCAATGAACACTGGGAAAGGGTGGATTTGGGTTTTAATGTTACTACCACGTAGCTCTATTCTGAGAGGTTGTTGTGAATGCTGTGGTTGAGTGGAGAGCGACAACCACAGCGAGGACAAGACGCTCCGACAGGGTGGTTCTCTAAGTACATATGTGTATATAACTATATATATACATATTTGCATGTGGGTGTCCATGAGTGAGAATTTGTACATGTGTGGGATCCCTATTAACTTGAAGAGTCAACAAAGAAGAAATCTCTTGAGAACCCCCGGCTCTTCCTCTGAACCCAGCATTCCCAAAGTGAAACAGCACTGCTTTCCACAAAAACAACACCTCTTGCCATTCTCGTCATACTGCATGCCAAGGTAGCATTTTGACCACTTTCCTTTCTCGCCACTTTAAAAGGGTTACATAAACCATGTTAGTGTCACTGGTGTGAGAGGTTATTCATAAATAGCTTGGGCTATTTTTGGGGAAAGAAAAAAGGGGGTTAGTGTGACTGTTTGTTTATGCAGAACAGTAACTACTTTGAAATAGCACCTGTGATTCGGGCTGCATTCATGAAATTTCCAATTTCAGTAGGTGAATCATCATTGTAGACCTTAGAGGTGAAATAACGTCTTCTGAGTCAAATTACAACTAAAGCAGCATAGCGTCTGTACCTTCACCATCACAGATGTTCTTGTACGAGTCCCAGCGGGTCAGAGGATCTGCTGTGTTGTAATCAACAATAACATCGGGTCCGTTTTGCCACCTGTCAGCACCTGAAAACAAAATCCACACTCTTGAAGAACCTAAAAATATGTAATATGTATTACAGACACACCTCACGTAAATGCAAAACACAAAAGTCAGTGAATATCAATAGCAAATTACGAAAACTAAATTAAAACACAAAAAATAAGGAAATAGGATTACAAGAAAGACTAGTGCTAATGTTATAACTTCCAACTAGAACAGCTGATTCTTTTTTTTACCATCAGAAAGGTAAAAAATAAAAAATGCAAACAGTAAAAACAGAAAGGTTGAGTGATTTTTTTTTTATTATTTGATTTTTTTAAGTGAAGCATTCTTACCACCCTTTCTCTTCACAAAGTAAAATAAAAGTTTATCTGAAAGGGTCTCGTTTTTCTTTTTCCACCAAACTAAATTTAGTGAAAACTACTACCAAAAGTAGCTTTACGTGCAACTCCAGTATGTGGAGATCGTCATATTAACAAATTAGGCACATAGGCGTACATAACACAGTGAATAACACAGAGCCACGTAGTTTCTTTCCAGTTGGGTTCGGAGGACAGCACATGCTGTGTTTCTTTACCTCTCTGTCAGCACACACTTCATACTACATTTCCCCTCTGTGGCGTTCCACATCCCCTCTCACCAGGGGAGCAGAGCGAGGAGGAAAAATTAAGATGGCACTCTATCTACCTTTCTAATTAATCAAGCTTGTGTTTGCTTATTAAAAAAAACAACAACAAAAAAAACTGCACAAGCAAAACTTACCTGGAATTCTTTCTGGTCCTTCAGAAAAGATAAGTTCAACCTTGCTGTAATCTGGAAATCTGGGATCTATAATGACAGCAAACACAGGAATGGTGTAACTGTTTTGGCATTCAGAACTGGAAAATGTACTCTTCTACTGTCTTTCTTTCACAACACAAGAAAAATTGCCAGTAAAATCTGTGTCCAGTCTGAGTTTAGTGGGGACCTTATGAAGCAGGAGAGCTGCTGTTTACTAGGAACTGCAGGTTGAGGCCTGTTTTTAGAGGTTTTTTTTTTTTTTTTTTTTTTTGCAGGTGTACCTTTGTTGGCATTCTCCATGTCCTCCTTTTCAAATATCAGGTTGTAACCCTGTACTGCTCCCGTGTGGAACTGGAGCCGGAAAATCACCTCCCGTTCTGACGTTACATCACTTTTGTGATAGCATTTAATCTACAAAAAGAAAGCAAGAAATCAACATGATTACAGCAGTCAGTATCTTTGTGAACATGTCTTGTTGTCTCTCTCTTTTCTTTTTTTTTGTTTCCTACCATGATGTCCCCTTTCAGGAGCTGGGCAGGCTCCAGATTGATACACACGCGATCCCTGTGATTTGAACCAATGTGACTTGAACAAAAACAACAGGTGGTATGGTCAAAGTGAGCTGGCGCAAAGAAGCCGTTACTTAAATTGAATTAAAATTAGCATTATTAGCATAATTAAAATTTGAGCGACTTACTAGACTCCAGAGGAGTACACTGCTTGCATTCCTTGGTAGACTTTGATGTATGGGCAACACACTGAACACAAAAGAAAAAAAACAAAACAAAGGAAAACCTGCAATTAATGTTTTTTTCAAGGTACTTTGATAACATGACCTCTGGGCATTATTTCGCTGAGGGCTGAAGTGTGATAAGCTGTTGTTGTGGGAAAAGAATTTTAGCTCCAAGATGTGATGACGACTTCTTGTTGATTCAAGGAAATGAGCAAAAACAATAATTTCCACCTAAGCACCTCAAAATGAAAGAATTCCCAGTGCTCTGTTGTGAACAGGGAATTTAGGAGAAGATTACGTTTTTTTACACAATGTCCATGTGCCTGAGCATGCGAGTGTGTTGGGGAAAAAAAAAAAAAGAAATAGGAATATAGTTCAAATAAGACTCTGATGTGGCTATGTTTAACCCTTTCATTGTAATTTCCCTGACTCTGGTGGGTGGATATTTTGATAAAGCAGTATGACTTTAACCTCTGCTGGCAGCCTCAAAGTTTGGGATCCCATGGAGGACGACACAGTGCAGGAACAAAGGTGAGGCGTTGATCTTCATGGACCCACTTAGTAAACTGTTGAGGATCCAAACATACCTGACGGGAATGCAAAGGTGAAGAGATTAACATTCAGCAAGACTATTAGGAGGTTTCCCACAACAGAAAACGTGTTGAATCATGCAGCAGAGAGCGGAAGGAATGTATATTACACAGGCTTCCAATAAATTACCCACTTATCCTTAATTACTCCAAGAGTAATTTAACTTTTAATAAAAGTGTTTATTAGATGTTCACTAATTTTGCAGCCGTCTGGTTCAGATGCGTCACTAAATGCCGTCAGATGTCTGATCTTGGACCAGAATTTATTTACAAACCCCTTAATGTGTAAATGTGATGCCTGTAAAGAATGACAAAATAAGCTATAGGTTTGAATATTTCTTTTTTTGTGATAGATAGAGGTAGTAAAGAAAATGAATGAAAATTTACCAAAATTTTTACCTCACTAATAAAGGAGAATGAAACTATTTGATGATGGCTGATGCCTTTAAAGAAATGCTGGGAGTTTGTAGTTTTTTATCCATTTCATGTATGCCAATTTTCTTTTCTTTTTTTTTCTCTCTGTTTTTAGAGATAAATTCAAGGGGACATTGGCTGAATTTAATCTATGGTGCACATCTACCCGTTCTGTATGGTTTAACACATTTAAATAGTTTCCAGTGTCACCTGAAAATATCAGTAACCATCAAAACACAATGAGGTGGTTACCAGTGCAGAATAACGTTTATACAGCCACAGTTAACTTCCAATGATTTAGCCAAATTGAACTATTAATACAAACTTTGGGCATAAATATGTATAAATAAATCCTGCTTATAATAGTTTTCTTGAATAATAGAAAAATTCTTCCTCCTAAACCTAAAGGAATGTCAATTGTCATGTACTACAACTATTTAGATGAACGTGATAGCTGGTAGATCGGTCTGTGATCAAATATTAAAAGTTTTTGTCATTTTATTTTATTTTTTATTAAGTCAACAAAAAACTTATGATCTTCAGCATAAAAACTAATATATTTGTTAACAAACATTCAACAATTGATGGCATACTTTTTTTTTAGTTATAATTTGCCACAGCGTAGGAAGAGCTTAGCACTATTAGTTAGTTGCTGAATTACAGTGGCCATTATTGGAGAAGAAAAAAAGTTCTCAAAATAAATTTGAAGTATAGTATAGAAAAAGTTATTCACAACCTCCACAGATGAAAAATATCTTGCTGAAAGTTTTGACAGACATTCATGGGCGAGATGGGTAGACGAAACACTTCAGCACATCAGTGTGAGCAGTGATGAATCACAAAATGTTAGAATTACACCAGGTCATTACGAGAGCCTTTTCTTATTTAAACAGCAGATGCCCATCAGCTAAAAGGTATTGACTGTATGCTATGGAAAAAAGTGGGTTGGAAACCTGAACGTTTGGAGGGGGATGCATATTGGGTCAAACAGGACATGGTGTGGCCCTTCCATGCCTCTGAATGGTAGGGTACAGCTCTGTTATGGGTCTTACCGCTTCTGTGAAGGTGTCATCAGAGCTGAGACCTTGTCATCGTAGTATTTCCTCATGGCAAAGCGGTCCAATGCTTGATCAGCACTTTGAGGGAGACAGAAAGACGCACTAAACACTTTAGGTAATTATGACTCAAGAGAGAGCTTACACTCTGGACTATAATAGTGCTAACCCAAACTCGCTTCAGTTGCAGCAAGGCAGACATTTACACACACTCACGTCTGAAAACAGGGAAAGTAAGTTGAGAGACAGAATATTCCAGGAGAGAGGAAGAGAATCAGCCTTAAGTAAACACAGAGGGACAGAGAGAGGGCCGAGTGTGTGCACAGCTTGGTTTATTCAGACAGACCTAAAGCTAATAGACCCCACCGCATTTTAACCAGACCTCTGCTTCCTTTCCTCTGCTTCCTCTTAATTTGTTTCTTTCCCTTCTCCTTCTCTTTGTCTTCTTTTCGTTTGTGTTCTGACATCTACATTCAGACCAGCGAGCTACACTCTCTCTCAGTTGGGCAAAAGCTTAAATTAGAAACCGGCTTAATCAAATGGTGACCTGTGCTCAAGCAACAGTGTCTTTCCATGTGCAGGAGAGAGCCAGACTGGATTTAAAAAAAAAAATATATATATATATATATACCTCCAGGTTTTTGTGATTGATAAAAGTAATGGAAAAATCCATCATTTTGGAGGCTTTACCTCCTTAATTGTAACCAATAAATGACTACAAACTCAATTTGAAAAACAAACTGAAATGTTTCCAGAATACCAGAATAGAAATGCATATAGTATAAGTACAAACACCCTCTCATGTCTATGTTCAGAATTAATGAACAGCAGATTCATCTTTCAACACCACAATGACCTAAAGCATGCATCCAAATCAATAGACTGGAAGCTTAGCAGTAGTTCAGCTAAACCCAACCTGATTTCAATATCCAGAGAAAATCTGAAGAGAGCTGTGAGCATTAAATGTTCAAACAATCTGATAGATATGAAGCAAAGTGAAGAAATACTGCCAGTATTTGCTATCCTGACTCAGTGCTGTAATAGAATAAAAACAAACTATACCATTTAGAGAGTGGATACCTTTACAGGATACCTTTACAGCTAAAGTATTTTTTTATTATTCTCCTTAAGATTTCAGTGTGTTGTATGGTTGATTTTAAAGGATATGAATCACCTTTTTTATTTTGTATTTATTTAAAGCATGATAGTAGTATAAAATCATGGACAAGAACAAGGAATGCAAAAGATACGTATTTTTGTACCACAGTAATCTTGACCTTATAGGTTCAGAAAGAATTACTCCTGATCTCATTCATTTTCTTATAAGGAAAAATCTGTCATTTTTCAAACCAACAGTTTGAAAAAAAAAAGATGTTTCAGTTCCCTGAAGCATCAGTTCTTTTGAAATTGCCTTTGCCAGCAATGCTCGTCAGAAAATAAAAAGGGCATTGTTCTTGAGAAATACATATTTTGAAACCAACACTCTGGCCGGGGGATATCACAGGGTAAACACATGCTTCAGAGTTGATTCATGCAATTCAATCCAGGGTGATTCATGGCTCAAATCATGTGGTTTTCTTTTCATTCTGGAACCGGAAACTTTTGAGTCACTTTTCCAAATCACCTTAAGCCAAAATTAAAGGAGGCAGATAAATTAAATGTGGTCCAGCAATGACATTGGTTATGGTCTAAACAAAATGAGTCTGCAGAAATGGTTGCGGTTCATTGTTCACTGACAACAAAGCGTGAATGCACATATGTTATGATGAATCTTGACTTCAGGGGGAAGGAAAAGAAGACCTTTATAGTAACATAACAGAAATCACAACATGGGTTGTGGTTACCTGGCAGACACGTCAGTGAAATGCACAAAGGAGGAAATGACAACACCAATTCGACCCTTGCCACCCTGCGAAAAACAAAATATGACATAGGATGACTCAGCACATGTGGTTTTTCTACTTTTACAGGCCTGCAAATACACCAAAAATATTATTTGAGTTCAATGGTTTCTTTTTACAAAATTTTCCATCTTTAAAAGCTTTAAGTTTTTTAGTTCTAAGCTAAATTTAAATGTTATTAAAACAGCAAAGAAGTTCTTTGCAGTACTTAGTTAACCCTTGTGTTTACAAATGAGGTCCAACCAAGTTTTACGTGTGTAAAACTTGTAAATGGGTTACAAGTGTTACGTGTGATACAAGTTTTACACGCGTAAAACTTGTATCATTTGCCACAGTCCTCGCACGCACAAGGGTTAAACCTAATTTTATTACGTTTGCCAACTGTGCTAATTAACCCAGATGCTCATCAAAAAAAACTATTCAGCATTCTAACTTCTAACCTTAGAGTTCTTAACACTGATGCAAGAATATGTTGTAAGACTGTACTGCATTCACCGAGAGAATGAAACAAAATAACATGTTCCAATATTCAGATGTAGAATTAATAACCATACTGAAGCAAAAACCACAGTATTTAAAAGAACAGAAAACTAAAAATGTATTTTGTCTGCAAAGGTTTTGGGGGCAAGGAAACACAACTTCGTTCATTCAATGTGACTGTTTTATTTTTGTATTATAGTACTACACTGCATTAAAAAAAAATCAAATATTCTATATTCAAGATCAGCCTAATGAATTGAAATCATTGTACATAATCTCTAATAGATTAGGATTTTCCATTGACATTCTCACTGATGCCAGCAAAGTGTAAAAACACAAATTGCTGTAAAGGCCAGTACTTAAAGGTTAAACTGATTTAAGTTTATGTGTTATATTCTAAGAAAAGGTATTTTTCTTAATCTTGCTGTATTTATTTTGATAAAACAATAAGGGTTCAGAACAAAAATACATAATAAGTAATTTGCTTAATAACTGATAAATTCAGCTGAGAAATTTTTGATGGGGTCAGCTCTAGAGTATTCTAACTGTGCAATCAGAAACTGAAAAACACAGGTGATCCTCCATGTTGAGTACACACTCACCCTGCAGTGTATAACGACCACATGTAACGGGTCGGCATTGAGCCAACTCTCCATGGCCTTACAGATGGTGCAGATCTTATCCAGCGGAGGAGCGTGTAGGTCTGGCCAACCGGTGTCCAAAGTCTACAAAATATCACAGTTTATGCCACTCTTTCCTTTACTTGGCCTGGTTGTTTCAGAAAATATTATCGAGCAGAAACGATACACTGTATATCCGTACCTTTGGGTTCATTCTGGTGAGGTCGTGTCTTCTCTCTGACAGGTTAATAATCTAAAGAAAACAACAAACCACAGACTAACAACAACATCTTACTGATTTCTGCTTTAATTCCAACTCTTAGCATGATTAAAGGTGCGATCTGAGATCAATACCTTCATCCAAAAAGAACCTATTAGTTCTAGTTCAGATCAATGCGATGTGGACTCTCACATTTGTCTTCTTCTAATTCTTAAGGGTGAGACGGAGAATCAACACTCACCAGGTAATTGTCTGCATGCTTGGATTTGAGCATTCGTGTGACATCCTTCAGATTAAGCGAGTAGATCTCCTCAGAGCAGCCCCGAGGGAAGGAGACGGCGATGATCCGCTCTGTGATATAGGTGAGGTCGAGCTCGTAACCCTCCTCCATCTTAAAGTTTCCTGTTATTCCTTTCGAGAAACATACAGACTGGTTACACAGAAGAACAAAGCACTGCAGTTCTCTCACACCATTCCCATTTTAAGCAGGTGACTTTACTTAAGTCAATATTTGATGGTCAAAGTCCCCAGCTTCAGTTATTGTGTCTGACGTTTCCACAGATATCACTGGGGAAAGAAAAGACTCCAGCTCCACATTATAAGATAGAGAATACTTTACACAGCAATGGTCAACAGAAATGTGTTGCAAGTACTGTACTAACTAAGCAAAGCCTTTTCTGCACAGGACAGATAATTGCAACGTGTCTGCAGTGCGAAAGGAGTATCACAACAATGGTATTAAGTAACAGTGACAAAGTATAAAAAAAAAATAAAAAAAAAGGAAAAAAAAAAGCAAAAGAGTTCCAGTTGAAACCAGTTGTAAATCCCTTTGTGGCAGTGTGTCCCAGTTACCTCATGGACGTCAACTTCCTGCTGTGGTGGTACAGACTCTAAAGACCGAGTCATCATTTACCACCCCCTCCAAACTCCACACACAGATGTTTTGCTTTGTTATCTACTCATCTCTGTGTAAGCGTGCTGCCCGTTAGCTAGAGAATAAGATATTTTATAGTTCTAATAGACTGTTAGAACTGTTGGAAATGATAACGTGAACAGACGATTGAAAATACCATAAAGGATGTAAATGGAAAAAAAAAAAAAAAAAAAAAAAAAAAATTTACCCAAAAACAAAACCGGCACCCACAAATTTTAATTTTTTTTAGGCTAAAAACCCACACCCCTT